GAATTCGCATGGGAGATAAAAGGATCTCCTCCTTCTCCGGAGTTGTTATATTGGCTTGCGGGGTGGGACCCAAAGGTGGACACAGGTGATAAATATAATTGATACTCAACGCCACGATCGGCACGAACCAACAATCAACCCATCCCGATTCCTTTGACAAAAATTCCTCCATTTCTTGCCTCTGTGTAGTTCATGCAGATACTTGTGAGATCCATCGCGCGTCATAATTTTCGCGTTCTTATTTAACGCTAACAAAATAATACGATTGGTGTTGACCTCTGGCAAATAAAATGAAAGATCGACACTCTCTCCTTGAATCCAAAAACGCAATGGTATGGTGACGGGTAGAAAATCCACGAACGGAAGGTCAAACGACAGGTCAAAAAATTCCCCGCAAAAGGCAATGTGCGCATTCTCCTGGTTCTGCGACGAACAGTCAATCCAGTTGTATTCATTGCAGACTGTGATCACTTCAAACTCCTTCAGAAGCAAACTAAACTTCCAAGTGTACGGAACAAAGTGCAAAATGTCGGGTCTTGCCTTACTCGCCCAATCGTTGATCATATCTTGAAAGAAATCTTTGTGCGAATAAACTAAATTGGCGGTTGCTTTACATCCAGTTAGATTCAGTGTCCATTCCTGATAATCGTTCCATCTGATGGGATAATGGCACTTCACTCCGAATTCCAAGGTCTCGCTTTCAACGAGGCTCCGATATTGCAGGCTGGTCGTGGCTTCCAAATGCAAGAGCTGACCCGTGATCTTTGTAGTGTATCCATCCTGCAATACTATCCACGGCATTGTAATCTCCAAGTACGATCCCGGTCCTACATTAACATGAACAGCATTCGTCTCTCTGTTCTTGCTGAAAAGTATGTCGATCGTCGCCTCATTCAGTGTTGACAATCTAATGTCGAATGATTGAACCTGTCTTTTATCGCCCGGCTTAGGTGACTTTGTAACCTTCAACGACTGGTAATCATTGGGGAAGAAGAACTTGAATAAATGCTCCCGCTGTCTGTCCGCCCACGGGCCGTAACTGAAATCCGTACCCTTTCCGCACTTGATGTCGATACCCCATATGGGAGGCATCGCCTCGACCATGTCACCGTTCACCAATTGTATCATTTCAGGATGCTCCGGTACGACGCCCGATTCGTCCATGTAATAATAAACTTCCATGTTGTTTGAACTCAAAACGACAAAACCTTCACCCATATATCTAGGTGGATCGTCAACCATCCCAGTGTACTTTGGGCTTGGCGCTAGAATAACTTTGAAATTTTCTGCCTTGCACTTGGTAAAGTGCATGAAATGATCGTGCCTAGATGCTGCCGGTTTCGTAGAATATACAAATGCGCTTCCTCCACAGTTATC